GGATCATGCCAAGTTGGTGGAGATATTACTTGTAACATAGGGCCGATGCAAGGCTCTTCCACCTCCACTTTGTCCTCAGCCTGGACGCCAATTGCTTCTTCAACCCCCCTTCCTTCTCCAGAATGTGGTCTCTCCCCTTGGAATAGATCAAGAACTTCTTCTACTTCACTTTTATCATCCTCCACAACTTCTTTCCTCATCCTTTCTCGCTCTTCTTCTTTCGGCACAGATTGAAGAGCAAGTCGACAAGCAATTTCTTTGATGAGATCATCTCACATCTCCTCACACATGCCCACCTATTTAAAGCTCGGTGTGAGACGTGGAAAGGTGTGGTTGGCTACAATAGGACATTGCTGATCATGATCATCACGAGAGCTCTTCGTGACAACTTCTGTCTGTTCCACAATGTCCTTGTAGCCTCCTTCATCCTCCTCTTCTTCTATGGTAGCATAATGGGGATCTTGAGCAAGCTGTGCACAAACTTGCTCAAGATCCTCGAGGCTCTTCTTAATGCTCCGGAGGGTCTCCTCTGTTTCATGGTAGGAGAAGTCAGTTTGGGCAATGGAATGGGTAAAAGGAACCAACTTGGAGGATGATCTCTCAGTGTCTCGAGCAAACTACTCCACAAGAAGCCTCAATTATTTGTTCGAATCCTCCTGGAAGTGTAGCATGGCTCTGCAGAATGGCCCGTGAAGGTCACCCTGGCGAAGTCCAACTCCGATGGCGCTTCTGGCTGTGGGAGGGATTCTTCCTGATAAGAACATTGTTTTTAAGGTTCCCAAGGGTCTGGTTGTTCTCCATAGTAGGGGGGTTGGTATTGAAACCCGAATCCATAGTTTTCTACTGCTTAATTGCTCCACGATGTCTCAGGGTAATACCACTCGGGTGGTGGTGGATACCCACAATGGTTGGAGAATCCATGAGAATCCTTGATTCAGATCTGCACCAACAAAAACAAAAACACCCAAGTGAAAAGCAAGGGTAAAAAAAAAAACGCTAAAGTAACAAACTTATGCCTTCCTAATAATCTAGAAATTCCTCGACAATGGCGCCAAAAACATGACACGCTACGACACAACTCCTAACAATGGCCAAGTGTAACCAATAAAAGGGACTACAGTATAGTGACACAAGTAATAAATATCGAATCCACGAGTCTCTAGAGTTACTTTTACTCAGCTTTAGTTCATTATCTAGCAAACTAGATTAAGGATTGATTTACTAAACTACTCTACTAACTACTCTACTACTTAAAAGTTGGGAACTCACTTAGGTATGATTCCCCCTACCTCCTCAATCAGGTCCAAGTTGTAATTCCTTTTGGTTATTTTACTGTTGATTAAACTGCGGAAGATCCTAAATTAGCTTGGGATCTCTTAAGTTGAACAAGCCCTCTTAGACAGAATACCCGGCAGGCGACTAGCCTTTTACCGGGATATACGGCTAAGGCGATTCACACAGATCTCCACTATTGGAATGAATTCCAGTAGAAAGCAGTGAATTGAACGACTCTCGCACAACCAATTCACTACTATCAATCAAGGAAGCTCTCTTAACCTAATCAGATTCTATCTATCATAGGTTAAAGCAGAAATCAAAAGAATTTGATCAGAATTCAATTGACTCAATAAAACATGCATCAATCGATTATAATCACATAATATAGCAAAGAGAGAGATTGCAGTAGAACTTTTCAGATCTTCAATCTTCATGTCTAGACTTCATCCTCCGATTCAGGTGTCGTTTGATCCCAGATGCTCGTAGTCTCGTTCTCTTTCTTTGCTTACCAAGATTAAATGATTATTTGACAATAAAATGAGTTAGAAATCCATTCTTCCTCAAGTCATGCCCGAGTTTCTTCCCCCGATTTGCCAATCTATCTCTGATTGACTTGAAACTTATGCCTATGCTTCACTTTACGTGCTAGGACCTGAAATGTCACAAAGGAACACAACCTAGCGTGTAATAGGCCAAGTAAAGATCAATTTCCAAGCTAAACGATCAAGAAATGAAGGAGGAAAATGTGCAAATATTGAGTCATCAACCTCCACCCTCCATCAGCGACGAGAGCATATCGGGTTAGGCTGGTGCGCAGCATGGATCGGAAAATTGTGACGGGGAAGGCCTCTTAGCCTCACCTACCTCTCTTCTTCCACTTTCTCAACTCCAATCGGTGAGCATAGTCGTATCAGCTCCAGGATCTGGCAAACAAGATCTGACAAATGGCGAAGGGCTAGCGGCGCTCCCCTGTCTCAAAGGGAGGAGGGAGAGGAAATGGAAACGCCAACATTAGAGAAAGGAGGAAAGAGGAAATGGAAACACCGGCATGCGAGATTTTTGGTCCTGTGGGAAGGAAATCCGAGTTTTGAGTCCTTTTTAGAGTAGAAGTTTATCTTATTTGTTTCCTTGTTTATTTAGGTTTATATTAGGTTTTCTTGGCTATAAATAGCCTTCTATTTTTAAAAAAACTTAGACTTTATTGAAAAGAAAATAAATCGTTTGGTTTGTGCAAGTTGCGACTTGTGTTGGGTTTGGTGGATTGCAAGCTTATTGAGCTTGTGTATCGATTGAATAGTCACTTTAATCGTGGTCGAGCAACTACCCTTTTCTTCCAATCGAGCGTTCCCCAGTTGTGTAATCGTCCTTTTGGTTCCATTTTATCCAAGTTCGTACTAAGAATGCTTCGTTCTTGATTCGAGCTCAATCAATCCTTCGATTGAGTCGTTAGCTGCGTGACTTTGATAACATACACCCCCCAGGGGCGCATCAAGTGGTATCAGAGCATGGTTTCGACCAGGCAAGTGCAGAAGTCTTCATTAAAGTTGGAGGAATGTTTAACAGTGAATTAGGAGCTTCAGAGGTCCCTGGCGTTGCTCAAATTGAGCCATTGAAGAAGGCTACACCGGCCTATCCATCTTTGACAAAACAGAACGCAAACGGAGCTCTCGTCGGTAGAGCCACCGACGACGAGCCGTGACCAGCAGAGGGAATCAACACGTCCCTTACGAACCCATGAACGTTGCTCATAGTTCCGTTGGAGGTGATCGTACTCCAACTCCCATAATCAATTCACCAAAAATCGCCCCTGTTCGTGAAGAACACTGCCAACAAGGACCCTCTCTGGGGTGGATCAAAGCAGCTCGATTCGAGCCAAGTCAGTGCTTCAGAATCGTTCATTGAGGTGCCATGGATGTGTAGAATCCCTCAATTCGACTCGAAGAGGTCGAAATCGAAAATGCCAAATACGGAAAATTTGGGCCGGAACGTGAAGAACGATGAAGACAAAAAGGGGGAATCGGTCGAGGAGTTTGGGAAGGATTCGAGCAAAACTGGAGAGGTGGGAAAGTTTTTGAAGTCACAAGGATGCTGTAGAGCCAAGGAATTCGGCATGAAGGAGTCGAAATTGAATTCCCAATTTTGCAGGTGGCTCGCCGGTTTCTGGAATTCACTTGGGGAAACTGGGAAATTCGTTTACACTGAATGGGAACGAATTGTATAGGTTTGAAGGCTAGGGATGGTTATAACCGATTTATGGAAGCCACGGGAATCAGCTGGAGGCAACAAATTTGATCCCAAGGGCTTCAAGAAGAAAGCCCCAAATTTGGGGACTTCGCCGGAAATCACCATAAACTCGCCGGAATCTGGAAATTGCGCCGATCAAAATCCGGCGACTTTGGTCGTTGGAAAAGGTTTGTTTCGAGTCCAAAAAGAATGTCCACCATTGTTGTAAGTTTCAAAGGTCTTCGAAGAGTTGGAAACTACGTTTGAAGCTGGAATTTTTCCTTAAAAAAAAAATGATCGAGCAGAGCCCTCTTTCGATCCAATTTGGGATCAATTCTGTGTATGGTTTGAGCAAAGAAAGGCCAAAGTGTTGAGGGAAACACTTTTTCAAGAGGGAGGGCCTGATATGATCCCACTTTGGAAGCTATCAAAGTTGGGAAGAAGAAGGGCATAATTTGGCTAAGTCAAAATCCGAGTTCATGGTACCTACTTTGGAAGCTTGTATCTCATAAATGCCTCAATGAAAATTGGATATCAAGGGCTTGTTTTGAAGATAAAGTTGCTATCTTTCCAACGGTATCTTTTTTTTTGGATCCAGATGAGTTCATTAAAGTTGTTTTCCAAGGCCTCAAAGTGGCTACTTCAAATGGTCAACTATACACGCTTAAATTACTTGATGAAGAAGCTATCGAAGTTGGGAAGAAAAAGGTTAGAATTTGGCTAAGTCAAAATCCGAGTTCATGGTACCTACTTTGGAATCTTGTATCTCACAAATGCCTCAATGAAAATTTGATATGCTTTTTGGAGATAAAGTTGTCATCTTTTCACTGGTTTGCTTTTTGGATCCAGATGATGTCATTAAGGTTGTTTTCCAATGGCAGCTTACTTGCGCTTAAAGAAAGAGAGTTTAAATCCTAGTTTTGAGTCCTTTTTTATAGTAGAAGTTTACCATATCCCACATAATAAAAATACAACTAAAATAGATAAGCCCAGAAATGCCAATATCGCTACGATTGCTCGTTTGAGAAGAGGAAAAGGGGTTGTGCCTAGGGCTGGGAATCCGGTCACAGTTTTGCAGTTAAACCGAAACCTGAATAGTTTAAACCGTCCCGGTTTTAACCGGAAACTGGATTCCCAACTACCCAATCCAATTGCCGTTCGCTTAGGTGCTGAGAAAAGCTGGGCCGGTCCGGTCTGGTTTAAAACCGAAAAACTGGGTAAAACCAGATGCCATACAAAACCCAGCCTAGCCTTAGTTTTCAACAGATTAGGCCCATATTAGACGATGCCCATTTTTCAATTTTCAATTCCGAGACCAGCAGCCACCAATCCATTAGCTCTAGGCTCTAGCAGGGGGAAAGTCAGACACCCTATTATCCACTTTCTAATTCTCATTTCCCATTCGGTAGTTTCCACCTCCATCTCCCTCCCTCTCGCCGCTGCTACCTCCTCCACGAGAAAGCGATCCCTCGGCTGCGATTGAAGAAAAAAATGGAGGACTACGGAGCGGCTCTTGACAAGTGATGACCACGACCACGAGACGACACCATCATTTCCATTTTCCAATTCTCCTCTAGCGACTGTCGCCCGACTTCCATCGATCTCCGTTTGAGTTCGAGAGCAGCCGATCTCCCCGTCGATATCCCAGCTCGAGGTCTACCAGAGGAAAAATCTGCCCCTTCTCCTTCTCCTTCTCCTTTTCCTATTGAGCATCGAGACGAGTCTGCCCAGACTCCGACGACGAACTCAGTATCACCATTCCAGTCTCTGGTCAAGACAGTTTTCCGGTCAAAACTGGACCAAACCATATCTCATCAAGTCTGGTTTGGTTAAAACTGTGTACCAATCCAATCCCGTATCCAGTCACGAGTATGCCCAATCCGGTTGTAAAAAACTGGATCAATCAGGTCCGGTTTAAATCGAACCGGACTGTTTCCCAGCCCTAGTTGTGGCAATAAATGGAAACGCTTGACAGGAAGGAACTTTTACTTCCTCCTTATTATGTTATGTTAACAATCATTGAATAATGTAGATTCATATTAAGATAATGAATATCGACGATATGTGTTTAGTCATTTGACCAATGATTAAGAACCCCCAAAGTTGGTATGCAGTTGTCTATTGCTTATTTAACTCGGCAGGTTAACATATAAATTGAACCAAAAATTGTCTACCCTTTAATTGAATAAGTTAAATTTTATAATTTGATTATTATGAACACATGTTTAAACATGTTCTTAATTGATAAGGTTAAACTTAAATAATTTTATTATTATGAACATGTTTAAACATGTTCTTAATTTGGCTAAATGTGTTGGACTTCTTATACATTTGTTAAGCATTTTATATATCGAATGTGAATAGCAAGCTAGTTTGTCATCCAAATGTTTTGCTATTGAGAGGTTGAGTTATCGGGTTCTTTGTATTAATAAAATTTAAAAAACATCGTACAACATAAATATTAAAACGTGTACATATTACTTAACGAAAAAAAAAACATGTACAACATAAAGATGAAAACGTGTACATATTATTCAACAGGAAAAAAAGACATGTACGCATGCTATATGAAATTAGTTCGTTTGATTATCATAATTTTTTTTACAAATGATAAACATATATTGATTCAAGGGAATAGATAGTTACATCTCGGAATTCAACCAGGTTTGAAAATAAAAGAAATGACACATAGTCGGGTACAATGATAGGGCATTTCTAGCCACCATATGGGCTACCCTATTACTACGCCGATCTACAAATCGGACACTAAACTCGAAATGGCTGGCAAAATAATGTACGGTTTCTTCAAGAATAGCACCCATCCGGTTATCTCCGGTATCAGTCCGGTTGATTATTTCGATGATCACTTTGGCATCTCCTTCGAATATTGTGTCCGTGAATCCGTGGTCCAGACACCAAAGTAAAGCCTCTCGGAGGACTAGTAATTCCACTACCATGGGGTCATCAAGTAAAGGAAACTGAATCCCCTTAGCCATAAGGATATCCCTAGCTGGGTTCATAAGAACCATCCCACCCGTCGAATGAGATCCACTCCTTGTCGCCTCACCCACATACAAACAACCCTAGTATCCCCCACCAGACCAAGTTGTTGTATGACAGGAAGAGTAGCTTGATGAGTTATGTCGATCGGCAAACTTACCCATTCCTCATATTGCTGATTAAACTGTCACATCAAAGCAGGGATCCCAAACTTTTTTCTTCAAAGGAAACCGTTACAAGACCGCCAAATCCGCTAGAGGATGGCTACAACCGCCATGAACAGCGCCGGTTGATGTATTAAATCCATCAACCTTATAAGAAAAAGTGGGAAGGTATGACGAGGCAATCCCTCACCCATATACTCCAGAGTCCAGACCTGAATAGTCCCAAAGGGCACGTGCCACCAGCCAATAGAGAAACAAATGTTCCAGGGTCTCAGAACTATCCCAACAAACCGGGCATCTGTGAAGCACACAGACTTTTTCTCCAATGAGGGCTTCAGTAGTTGGTAGGATTCGATTGAGGATCCTCCATACAAATACTTTAAACTTGGGAAAAATATCATCCTCCCACAACCAAATATGATAAAGTCGTGTTTGCACATGTTTGTACCTTCGTTTCTTTATTGTTTTGGCTCGAATTTGTGATTTCTTGCCTATTTTACGCTAGGTTTTGTTCCTTTGTCATATTTCAGGTCCTATCATGTAAAGTGAAGCATAGGCGCAAGTTTCAATTCAATCAGAAATCAATTGGCGAGTTGAGTTATCCAATTGTGACACAGAGGAGACCCTCTGGAGCATTAAGAAGAACCTCGAGGTCATTAAGCAAGCTTGTGCACGAATTGCTCAGGACAACTTTTCTGCTAATATACAAGAAGAGGAGGAGGATGAAAAAGGTCACTAGGAAATTGTGGAGTAGACAAAAGTTGTCACGAAGAGCTCTTGTGATGATCATGATCAGAAATGTCTTGTTGTAGCCGGCCACACCTTTCCACATTCCACACCGAGATTTGAAGAGGTGGGCATGAGTGAGGAGATGCAAGATGAAAAAGGTCACTTGCTCTCCAATCCATGCTGGAAGAAGAAGAGCGAGGAAGGGTGAGGGAAGAAGTTGTGGAGGATGTAGGAAGTGAAGTAGAAGGAGTTCTTGGTATTTTCTGATGGGAGATACCAAATATTGAAGAAGGAAGGGGGGTTGAAGAAGAAATTGGAGTCCAGGCTGAGGACGAAGTTGTTGGGGAAGAGGCTTGCACCGGCCATGACTTACATGTGATATCTCCACGAAACTTCGAGGAGCTGCTTGGCAGGGACATGTTTGCAGTGTCTCTTTGCCAGAACAAGGCCACATCGACATCGGCCGCTCTTGGTGGATGGAATGGTGGTCATTCGTTGTTGTCATATCTGGTTTAGGGCAATGAGACGAGAGACAAAGAGAAGAAGAGGTATCGAGGATGGAGACTTCCTCTACATCAAGGACAGGAACCATTTTCATCACTTGCTATGCCACCTGCTCATGACTCGAGGTCCACCTCATTGATGAGAACCTTAACTTCAAGGAGGTTATGGGGTGGACCGAAACTTAGGATCCACCGTCCGGTTCACAACGTGAAAGAAGCGCTCGTTGGAAGGAAAACCAACCAGTAGGTTTGCATTTCTTTCCCTATTTCTCTTCGGTTGAGTTAGTTTTGTTCTTTGATTTTAGAGTCAATAACTCAACCTATGTGAGATTTTGTGTGGTGTTTGTGTTCCGACTAATCTTTCCTCATGGAATGCACAACTTGCCCCGTCCATCATCTTTCACACCCAATCTGGTAACTTCGTCCTACCCTCCTTATCTTTCCTCCATTGAGAACAATGTTGTGCTTAAGTGGGGGGGGGGGGGATGTAACATTATTTATTTTTGTGATGAATGATGTGTTTTGCTTGACTTGGAGCCTAGTCCACTGTCCAAATCTTGAGATTTGAGGGTTCTAAGGACTGATGTTTTCATAATCATATTGGCATTGTGCTTTATGTGGTGAATCGATTGGCTATTAGCATTGCAACATGACAACTTGATTGTGACCAGGACAACTTATAACGATGATTGTGACTAGCATTGCAATAGAGTTGTGTAGGGGTTCAGTTTTTCAACTGTTTGCTTACCAACTGTGACTTTGATTGATCACTTATTCTTTACAATCGTTTATGCATCTAGTTCAGGGAGAATCAGAATGATAGATAGAGTATATAGGTAGCCATGTGAGATTTGAGCCTGCTCGTTTCTTTCTTGTGCGATAGATCTCTCTTCCATGACGTGTAGCATTCACTTTGCCACTAGTTAGGATGATGGAGGCATAGGATTAGCTCACGACCAAATTGACTTTCCTGGTGTCATACCCCCCTACTTAGTCCATTTGAGCCGTGTAACTTTCTTTCTTTCGGTCTACAATGAAAAATCACCATTTTTGCATCTCTTAGAGGTTCCACGGAGTGAGTTTTTGCATGTTCTATGTTGTTTCTGCTAGAAATAATATGAGGGTTGGAGGTAGTTTTTAAAAGTTGGGCATGTGTTTGAAAAAATGTGCAGAGGTGGTGGTTCTCTCAAGAAATGAAGAAAAAAATAAAGAAAAAAAATGAATGAAAGCAAAAGAGAGAGACCATAAAAATCTGAATCATGCTCATTAAGTAGTGTTTCTTAGCAGTCTGGCTTGGAAATACTAACATTATTGTGACCTCCTTCACTCTTGTGCTCTAAAAAACTTGATTAATGCAGAATGGCAGAAAGAAAGTAAATGGTTTGAATGTAATGTTGTTGTGTTGGTTTTGGAACTATGAAACCTTGTGTTATGAATTCTTCCACCATCTAAAAGGCCTTCTCCCCATGTCCAAGACCATAGCCAATCATTTGAACCTATGTCTAAGACCTTCTAACCAGTTAGTGATGACATCCGATATGTGAACTCTAGCATGTAGAGGCTGTCGTCATGGTGAAGAGACATTAGGGATTGAGAGTATGAGTATGCACACGTCATGGTGAAGAGACGTTAGGGATTGAGAGTATGAGTATGCATCAAATGTTGATGTCTAAAAGCCAGTATGATTCACGTGTTTTGTGCCTATATGATATGTCCCCAAGGTTTACGTGCTAGATGTTTTGAGCTTACCTTGTATATGACTTGGTTTGCTTGGGGACAAGAAAACATTTGGGGGAATTGGATAACGTCGTATTTACACATGTTTCTACCCTCATTTCTTGATCATTTTGGCTCAAATTTGTGATTTCTTGGCCTATTTAATGTGAGGTTGTGTTTCGTAGTCACATTTAAGGTCCTAGCATGTAAAGTGAAGCATAGGTGCAAGTTTCAAGTCAATCAGAAATCAATTGGCTATTCGGGAGAAGAAACTCGGGCATGACCTAAAGAAGAATGGATTTATACCTCATTTTTTGAACAAAGAATCATGTAAGCTTGTCGTGAAAAAAAGAGGACGAGACTGTGAGCGTTTGGGATCAAACGGCGACTAATTGGGAGTCCGGAAGAGGGAGAAACAAAGCATCAAAGGTAGTGGAATAGGTTCGGATGAATCAACACAGGCAGACTCTCCACAAAGCACGGTCGTGTTTCATCTAACACTTGCCAGTATTTTTAATGCCGAGCCTCTCTTGTGAAGGCAGCTGAAGGGATGAAAAATACAGGCGGAACTAAACACGGGCGTGTTTCTGCACCGGCTCAGGTATAAGTTCATTTTCTACAATTTTCGAGAAGGAGAGCTGAGTTTTGGTTCCCAAACACCCAAGGGAGGAACCAAAGTGAGAGAGGGCAATATAGAGCCATTCTCGGACATATTTTGAAGCTCAAGGAACAAGTCTAGACATGAAGATTGAAGATCTGGAAAGTTATACTGTAATCTCTCTCTCTCTTCTCTATGGAGTAACTTCCCTTCACTTAGGTTTTGAGGAATCTTAATTCCTTGTGTTAGGACTTTCTTGTTTGAAACTTTGGATGTTATACTGAATGTTTTTAATCAACTGAGGCATGATTGCTGAGTCAATTGAATCCTGATAACTTTCCTTTGATTTTCGCTTTAACCTATGATAGATAGAATCTGATTGGGTTAAGAGAGCTTTCTCAATTGGTAGTAGGGAATTGATTGTACGGGAGTCATTCAATTCAGTACTTTGTACTGAAATTAATTCAAGTAGTGGAGATCTTTGTGTATTGCCTTAGCTTTGTACTCTGGTGCAGGTTAGTTGCCCGTCAGGCATTCTGTCTAAGAGGGTTTGGTCAGCTTAAGAGATTCCAAACTATTGTCGGATCTTTCGTAGTTTAATCAACATTAAAACAACCAAAGGAAATTACAAATTGGACCTAATTGAGGAGCTAGGAGGAATCATACCTGGGTGAGTTCCCAACCTATAATTAGTAATTTTATCTAGTTTAGCTTATAAGTAGTTTAGTTAATCAAATCTTAATATGATTTTCTAGATAATGAACTGAAGCTGAGTAATAGTAACTCTAGACCCCGAGGATTCGATATTTATTAATTGTGCCACTATATAGCAGTCCCTTCCATTGGTTACACTTGGTCATTGTTAGGAGTTGTGTTTTAGCGAGTCTGTATCCAGCTAGACTTATCCATCCAACTAGCCGTAGACTTCCAGCGACCCCTTTTCTTATCTAGTGAGACAGCCAAATGGTAGGCTGACTTGACAGAGAAAACCTCGTTAGTTGTGTCATGCCAGATCAGCCTATCCTGCACATTCTGACGCGGAAGAGGAATACCTTTGATGGTACGACAGGTAGGCCGTTCAAACCATTGGCTAAGTTTGAGGTCACACTAACGCCCCTTCCCTAGACAAATAACCTCAGCAACTGGCGGATCACCCCCTGTCGGTAAGACTTGGGGATTATCCCTAGGGGATCAAGCTAGAGTCGAGATATCCAGTTAGAATGAAGCACAAAAGCAAACCAGCCCTTACCAATTTTCCATCTTAATCCCATCTCCAATAAGTGTCGACCAAACAGGTCACTCTGCCAACCCCACGAAGGGCGAGAGCGTGCCGTAGCTTTGAGGTAGGTCCCATTCGGGAAATACTTTCCTTTGTAGACCTAGGAAAGAAGAGTCTGGGGCTCAGTAACGATACGACATCCAATTTTGGCTAAAAGAGCCTAATTAAAATATTCGAATTGGCAAAATCCCATCCCCCCATCATGTTTACTCCTACACATATTGCACCAGGACATCCACCAAATCCTCGAATGGCCCTCGTTAGCACCCCACCAGAACTGAGCCACATGTTTATCCAATAGACAACACATGGAGATAGGTAACTTGAAACAGGACATCACATGCAACGGCAAAGCCAAAGAAATTGATTTAATCAAAGTTTCTTTAGCCACCCAAGATAATGTCCTCTGCTTCCACCCCTAGAGTCACTCTAATAATTTCTCCTCCAAATATCAGAAAGTAGCCATTTTAGACCGAGCAATTAGCATAGATAAGCCTAGATATTTATCATGGACCCCTACCGCCCGGACCCCCAAAATCGCAGCCAGGAACTCTTGGTCCAGCAGAGCAATATTTTTACTAAAGCAAACTGCTGATTTTGCCAAATTCACTCGCTGACCACTAAGTTCCTCATATTCGTTCAAGACCTTGATCAATTTCTCAGACTCCTGGAGAGTGCCTCTTAGGAATAAATAAAAATCATCGGCAAGAAACAAGTGCGAGATCCGAGGGGCACGAGGAGACACTTTTACTCCCTCAAGCCTTTTCTCCGAAATAGCCTTACAAAATTGAGCCGCAAACCCCTCTGTGCAGAGCACAAATAAGAGAGGGGAGAGAGGATCCCCCTGACGTAGCCCCCTGGAGGGTGTGAAGTAACAAGAAGGGGTACCATTCATTATCACAGAAAATGACGATGATCTGACACATTCATGTATCCATCCTTGCCAGACAGAGTTAAAACCCATCTTGTCCAAAACCGCAAGAAGAAAAGGTCATTCGACTCTATCATAGCTCTTTTCCATGTCAACCTTTAGAGCCATGTACCCTTTCTTACCTCGCGTTTTGATTTTCAAGTAGTGCATTAACGCATGCCCAAGCAGGATATTCTCAACAATTTGACGCTCCTAGATAAACGCATTTTGACCCTCCGAGATGATGTGTGGTATGAAGCAGGCAAGCCGTTCAACCATAATTTTGGTTATAATTTTATAAACAAACTGCATAAGCTGATTGGTCGCAATTGTCTCATAGACTCCACATTATCCACTTTGGGGATCAAGGTGAGCTAGGTATGATTGAAACTACGGAGCATCCTACTTGTTGTAAATAACGAACACACTGCTTCAATCACCGAGTCACCCACAATATCCTAGAAGGCCTTGAAGAATTTACCCGTCACTCCATCTGACCGAGGAGCCTGCTTCGATCCCATAGCAAAAATAGTTTTACGTACCTCACCACGGAGTATTTTGGCCGTCAGAATGGCATTCATATCCGGTGTAACACTATGAGCGATCGACAAATTAGCCACCCGATCTAGCATGTTTAGCATATGATTCTCAGAGGTGAAAAGATGGTGATAAAAGCTAGTAGCAATATCTGCTTTCCCCTTTTCATCGGTGATCCACTCTCCATTATCATTGCGGAGGCCGGCCACAATGTTTCTTTTACAACGCGTCCTATTCACCGTATGGAAATAAGATGTATTTTTATCACCTTTCTTCAACCATTGAAATTTTGCTGCCAGTAAGCTTCCACAGCCTCCCCATTGTATATTTAACTCAATTTCCAGGGTTCGGACCTCATCCCATTCAATAGGATGGATTTGTTTTATCCTCTCAATTTCGGACCGGAGAGTTTTTATATTGCACAAGGAATTCGTAGTGCCTGCTCTACTCCAGTCATACATCAAATAGCGGAGCTGCTTAAGGCGTTCCCAAAGACGAAATATAGGAGTTCCCTGGACGTCTTCCTGCCAAATATAACTCACCCTAGTATCCAGGATCATGGAGACCCAAGTTTTGAATAAAATCACGCAGGCTAAAAGAATGAGCAGCATTCCACGTATCTCCCCCATCTTTTACATTCTCATGAAGAGTAGTGTTAAAGTCACCTATGATTACATAGGGGAGTTGGATGGCATCACAGATTTCCTGCAAATGAGCCAGTTGGGTGGCTCTTATTGCAACATTACCACTAATGTAAACAAAAATCACAACATAAGAAAAATACACTTCATTAATTTGGGCACAAATACAGAAGTTGGAATGAAAAAACACCGAGGCATCAACCTTGGGGGACCAAGCCACTACTAACCCACCCGATGCATCATTCGCATCAACAAAGAAACAATGAGAAAGTTCAAACCCTAAACCCTGCAAACAACGGGAAAAATACTCTTCGGCTCAATCGTGTTTCAGAAAAAACACAAGATCAGGTTTATTAGAATGAAATAAACCGACAGCAGTTTGGAATGTGAGTGATGGTCCAATTCCCCTCACATTCCAGGCCAGAAGTCTCATTTATCCGATTGGGGCCATTCGAGGCTGGCTTCCTCCACCTTCTCAGTAATATCAATGTCTTCAACAAACTGTTTTTGGTGTGGGACAAACTCCAATTTCACCATTTATTTCTTCCAGAGATCGCTTTCTAGACCCAACCTGAAGCACATCAAAATTTGAACCATACTCATTGAGTTGAGGACTATGCCCATCAGGAGCATCCTCAACAGCCTCGATCATCTCCTTCAGCAATGGTTTCGCCGCCTTACCATACTCAATCTCTGCATCACCCATCACCAGACCATTCTCAAAAGCGTCCACCACCTTGCTTACAAGCCCAGAATGGCCAAGATGTCGCAAGCCTTTATTCAGTCGCGGCGCTCGCCTCCTAATTTCGAAGGTGCAGTCCTCCTCCTCCGATAATGTTACCTCCAAATCAACCAGCTCCTAGGTATCCATGGGATAATCACCGCATTAAGCTTCTGTGGATTGTCATGGGTCTCGTGCATGAAGTGCTCACCCTATCCCAATTCAACTATTATTTCTGGGTTCGGATTGGCATCCACCACCCGGTGATTCTTGTTACAAGGAGCAGCACCAATTTTTTGGTTGCTCTTGCGGTTTACAGCAGCTTGGGTGGGTGGGTTCCGGGCCTTGATTTAGCCTTATGCTCCAGGTTAGGGTCAGACAAATACTCCCCGTTTGTCATGCTGCCAAGTGGAGACTCGGCACGAGAAGCTCTCCCAGCCGTAACCTTGCATGTATCACCAGCGGGAGCAGTCATGCAATGTGCATGTATGGGAGGGGAAATAGAGTGGGGCTCCTCTTCAGTTTAATCAACAAGGATAATTTTTGGATAACGATATTCCTCCTTTTTCCTCTCAAAGTACACAGATGCCAGCTTAGACGTAGATCGCCACTCTTGCTAGATCCATTCTTCTTGCTTGTTATCTCCATCCCCCGCCCTTTGGCTACTTTCAGTGGCCTAGCCACTCGATCATAACCCTTAGGTTCAACACCCTCCTCCTTTTTTCCAACCACTCTCCCATATGGGTTCCCCATAATAATTTTGGGAGCTCTGGACATCGGAAAGCGCAGAGGGGTCCGCAGCTGCTGGTTCTTAGGCTCCACCTCCATAATAAGTTTGCATATCATTGGTATCCCTTCCTCAGCCTCGTCAATTTTCCTTCCTAGCTTCTTGGTGGACATATGAGGACCAAACCTCTCTTTTCTGGCCGGAGGATCGAAAGAACAAGCTCGGAGGGAGTGTTCTACACGTCCACATTGAAAGAAGAAGCTTGGAAGTTGTTCATATTTGAGACTAATCTAGAAGCAACCAGTCTCATCATTTGCTTCCATGATTTGAGAACGCAGTGGCTTGGAGAGATCAACAAGGACCTTCACTTTGACGAAACGACAAGCCTTGCCCGTGCAAGAGAACACATTAGCCTCAAGTACTCTTCCGATAATAGAGTTCGCTACTTTCTGCCCAAAATGTTGGGTACAACAATCCTCTTGCGCATCCCACATTTGAACTCGGAATGGTGCTATTTCCAGTTCATCAAAGGTACATCTAGTGATCATCGTGATCCACTCTCGTAGATGTAGGATCTTGTCTTTAATCACCCACGGAGTACGTTGCAGCACCCATGTTTTTGCAGCCGCATTCGGAAGGACGAATTGGAACAGGCCATGAGTTGCCATCCGAACTCTAATGTGGCCCTGACCCTTCCACGGGTTGTGCACCGAATCACCCAATTCTATTGGTGCACTCTGCTTTCGGTAAAGAGACGGCCCAGCAGAGTCAGTGATTTGAGAACTTTGCTCGATTGGATCTCCTCCAAGGAAAACTTCACAACTTGATCCATGGTGACGTGGGCCATGGTGGTTTCCTGCAAGGACAGAGGCACATGAAGCTCGCCAGCTGAAAACATCTGTCTCAATGGACCACAGGAAGCAAGACATTGGAAACGGAAGAAAATGAAGCAGGGCATTATCCAAATAGAGGTAGAGATTAAAGCCAAAAATATCAATCGTCCACATACCCATGTAAGGTCGCTGCTTGAGGGAGGTTACGCTTCTTTCCACCACCGGTAGTAGCTCCTCAGATTTCTCGAAGGTAGAGCATCCGGTTTTGAGAAGTGGTTTAAATAGAAGCCAAAACCTGGAAATCCCTTTGGCAGAGTTCGACTTACTTTCGAAGTGTGGGTAGGAGAAGGACTCCTTGATTTTCCCCAACGTTTAAGGATACAGACTACAGAGGGATAATAACTCACCAAAGCCGGTCGCAATATCCGGGATTTGGGTAGTGATAGGAATAAAATCATTAATTATTTTATTTTCTTTCTTATTTTCTTTTTCCAACAGTCGTAGCCGAACCCCTTCTGGCTTCAGATCCGGCGGGTAAAGTATCTCCGATCGATTATGGAGGGGTGGTTCCGGCTGAGAAACCCCCCAACGCACACCCTTTGACAGCCACTCTATTAAGGGGTCAGAGGTGACGCCAAATCGGTAAGCCATGTACGTCAGGTAACCATTCGTGGGCACCAGCGACTGTTGGGGGAGATTGGGGTTCTTCCAAAAGCACACTGTCATAGTCCATTGATGACGGCAGCTTGAATCTTCAAGCATGCATCTTGTGAGTTCGAACACGCTTATACTTCACGTGTTCATAAATGATATCATCTACCAGGGGTGCCCCCAGCTTACATTTAATGGGGAATAATCTGGTAGGGTTTCGCAGAGGATAATCATGGCAGGTCGGGCCTCTTTTTCGAACCGATCGACACAAGCTGGTAGGGTTCCCGTTAGCTACTAATAGGGCAAAAGCGTAATGCTTCAATTCCTATCTAGTAGTAAAACCGGAAATCCGGGTATCGTCTCTCATGGATTGGTACAACCTTAAGTTTTAATAATTTATGGAGCAAACTATAAGTGAAAATGGTTTGAGAGATAAACTAATATCTAAAAGCAGAATTAAATAAACAAATTAAGTAATGAAAACTGTCGTGAGAAATTCAATGGAGAAAGCTCTGGGAGAAACACCGGAATTCACTACCTATCATATCCAAATTAATTAACATATTCCAACTTCTAGCGCTAATTTATCATCATTAGCTTGACGGTTGGGGATCGATCACGACTTTGAACATGATGTCACCGAGAGCGGATTCACCACACTCTCGGGGCGAGGCTTGTAGCCTCCCTTCTCCGTCTCTAAGAGTTGGCCCTCTTTATTGGCCAACTTCTCTTTGGCCTTCTGCTTCCTTCGGGCCAAAGCTTCATTCATCTTTTTCCTCCACGCATTCTTCCTCTTCTCTTTGGGCATAGCACCCTCCTTCACTTCTTGCTTAACATCACCAAAGGTAACACAAGTAATGGTAGGGTTTGCCTTGAGAGGCTCTCCTCCACTCTCATTCACATCATTTGCAACCACCTCCTTCACTTCATCACTCCTAGCTTTAGGGTCAATCTCAAGCTTGATTCTTTCCTTACCATCCCTCAAAATTAAGGTCCCCTCATTAACGTCTATCAATGCCTTGGCGGTGGCAATAAAGGGACGACCGAGGATGAGTGGCATATATCCGAATCCTCACTTATGTCGAGAATCATGATATCGGTCGGATAGCAAAACTTGCCCACTCTCACCATCATGTCCTCCACAATACCTCTAGAGATAATGACTGAATGGTCGGCTAAGGTGATGCTAAGCTTATAGGTCTTAAAATCACCAACTTCTAACTTTTTGAAAAGCTTGTTGGGCATCACATTAACACTAGCTCCTAGGTCTTCCAAGGCATTTTCTATATGGTGATTCTCAATATCAAGAGGGATAGTAAAACTACCTCGCTCGGACCGCTTTTCGGGCAAGCGGTTGAGGAGGTAAGCAGAGCACTCCTCGCGAAGAGTAACGTTGGTGAGGCCTTCAAGCTTTGGCTTCTTGGTGAGGAACCATTTGAGTTACTTGGCATATCTTGGCATTTGAGCCATGGCTTCAAGGAAAGGGAGGTGAAGGTTGCAGAGCATTTCAATGAAACCTCCACACTCGTCGTCCAACCTCTCCTTGTACATCCTTATGGGAGAAGGAAGAGGTTGCGTGTACTCACCCTCTTGCGCTGCCTTCCTTGCCGCCTTCCTCTCTCTCCTCGAGGGCTTCCTTTCTCCCTTCTTCGGGTTGGCATCTTCCTTCTCCTTCACTTCTTCAGTGGTTCTTGGGGTTCACCACTGTTTGGGAAGGTAAGGCTCCTTTGGGTCTCTCGGTGAGGATGCCGGCAAGGTTGCCGATTTGCACCTCCAAACTTTGGAGGCTCGCTTGATGGATTCTGAGACCCGCCTCAACCGAGGTAAACTTGGTAGTCTGCACATCAATAAATTGCTCTATCTTCTCGAACTTTTGGCTACTCGTACTCACAAAGGTATTCACTAGGTCTTCGAGCTTAGATATCTTGTCGGGTTGTTGTTGTTGTTGAAACCCTAGGCCACCTTGTGCTTGGTACGGTTGTTGGAAGTTTGAAGCTTGAATTTGAGGCCTTTCTTGAATGATGGTTGGCCGAGGTTGGTAATTTCCCGCGGGGCCTTGAAAACCCGGGGCCTCGGATTAGTCGGTGATGACCAAGTAAAGTTGGGGTGGTTCCTCCATCCGCGGTTATAAGTATTGCTATCCGGGTTGTTGACCATAGCATTTGCCACGAAGTTGACTTGTTCCTCCGGAGTGGTTGCCTCCTTCATTGCTTGATAATCCGCCATCTCATGACTAGTTCTAAAACACCAGTCGCACGACATCAACGGCCTTTTTCCTTGCCTCTTATCTTCAAGCATCACCTCTAGCAACTTATCCAACTTCGCCTCAAGCAGAGCACTCGCTCCCACGCTTCTCACTCCCCTATCATTGCTTCTTCTTCCACTTCTTGTCAAATCCCAATCGTATCCCATAAGGGCTATGTCTTCAAGTATTTCGGAGATTTGAGGTGGACCCATAATCAAGGTTTCAATCCGAAACTGTTATTCAAACCCATGGTTGACATTGAAGAAAGCAATCGGAGTCAATGACGATCTTATCTACTTACATTAGGCCTCCATAGAAGGTTTCAATCCGAAACTGTTCTTCAAACCCGTGGTGACGGCATTGAAGAAAGTAATCAGAGTACCTCTCCCAAGCATCCCTTAAGGCCTCGTTCTCTTCTTGCTCGAAATGGGTAATCTTCTTTCTCCATTTCGCTGTCTTTGAAGGCGGGCAATAACGAGCCATAAACTTGTTGAGGAGGTCGTCCCATGAGGTGATTGACCGAGGTGGGCGGTTGTTTAGCCACCTAAGTGCTTCCCCCGAGAGTGAGTATGGGAAAAGCCTTAGTTGCAAAGCTTCGACCGGCACACCATTGATTTTCAAGCTCCCTACGAGCTCCAAGAATCTCTGCACGTGCTCTCGAGGTGACTAGCTCTCTCGCTTGATATTGAAATTGTTTGCCGCCACCGGAGGATGTAGGATTGCCGATTGAATATCCGCCGGCCATGGGGCCATATAGTACACCATCGTCCAAGGGGAATCTGACACGCCTGAACCGTCACACTAAAAAGTGGCCAAATATAACCACCTACTAATGCGTAGTATAACGAGTTTAGTTTTAAATGTCAACCCGAGTCCTAGGTGTGATGACTACTCCGTGAGTTCTTATTATTTAGCGGTTTGAATGTAGTGAAGGACTAATCAAACAAACAAGCAAAGCAGTAAAAGGTTGTGTTCAAAGTTGAGAGAGATCACCCAGATATGGTTCGCCCTAGACTGCAGTTAAGTCAGGTTGTAATTCGCCAAGTTCGAATTCAAAGATAATTATACTGC